TAAAAAGTATAAAAATTTTAAAATATGTTTAGGTATATTAAAAAAGTAGATACAAAAGTATCAAAAATAAATATTTGTATCCTGATCTGTTTAATTCGTATTAAAATAATTTTTGACCTGTGATCCTTATAGATTAGTACAACCTAAGTAATAATTCTAAAAACATCTATATATAAAGATTATAGCTGATGCTAAAATCTAGAACTAAGGGTTTGTTAAGCTCCCAAATTCTCACAGACTAGGCCAACGGTTCGAGTCAGGCTAGAGACAAATTTTAATAAAATTTGTTTCTGTAACCTACGGGGGCCATAATCAGATGCAAAGCCTTGTAAAAAGTCCAAGTACAGTATGAAACTAGAATAAGGAGTTTCCGGAAGGAAACTAGATTGTAGAGTGTGGCACTACGTGTGATAACAGTATCACAGAAGATCTAGGCTATAGAAGATTGCACATGTAAGTCCTTGGTTGGGTAACTAAGAGGCAATACCAACATTCTATCACCTCTGTATTTGGCAATACCAATGTCTTTGCATCCAACTTGTGGGAAGAATGATCAACAGATCGTGTATATAAGTTCTAATAAAGAATAGTATTAGGTACTTGCTTGGAAAGGTGATTTAATACTACTAAAACCAGAGTAGTGAGTGAAGGGTGATACATAACTATGGGCTGTGGTAAAGAATCATGCCTTAACTAGAATTAAAAACACCTCTGGCATCGGTGGAATGACTATAGAAGGTTATTTAGCATAAAGAATGTAACCTACCTCTGTATGTCTAAATATACCAAATCGAAACTCTGGTCACATCTATATAGAAGTCTATGACAAAAAGAGCTAGAATATACTAGCATGAATACTATACTAACTAGAAATAGCTGAAAGTGATTTAACTTGCTATTTAAGTAATTTCGTAGCACTGGGCTGGTCTTTAACAAGATAGATCATTAAAGCAAATTATAAAAGCCAATAGCTGAGAGTGTATAGTCTTGTAATTGCTGTGCAACTTGAGGAGTTCTCACGAATCAAGGTTCCGGTGAATATCATATAAGAGAGTACATAAGGAGATAGAAGATATACAACTGCACCAGATAACTTAGGAAATATTAAGACCTAGAGAAGACAAACCAGTAGCAGTAGCAGGGGCCTGGCTTGAGATACGAGGTCAGTATACCTGGAAAAGTAAATGGGAGGGCTAGTGATAGTCCCTAGTATTGCACTACCTTTAGATAACGTCCAGATCCAATATGTGATATCAATACTTCTTACGTGAGACTGGTGGTAGTAGCAGAAACCTGGCTTGAGATACATATATTTATTTTTGATACTTTTGTATCTACTTTTTTAATATACCTAAACATATTTTAAAATTTTTATACTTTTTACTAATGTTTACTATAATAATGTACAATCTTATTTATTATATTTAGATATGGGGGCATCTATAAATAATGTTAGACAAGAGAAAGAAGAGGGGTTTTACAAAAATAATATTTTTTTTACATTTTTTGCTAAGTTAGAGGGAAGGTTGAAGGAAAATAACTTAATTTTTTTATAAAAATATTAATATCTCATGACCTAGTAGTCAAATTGAATAAATTTGGTACTATTAGATTCATCTTGATAAGAGAAATCCAATGGTATCAAAATTATTTAATTTGGATTACTAGATCAAAAGATATTGATAAAAACCTATTAGCTATATTATTTTATATGAAATTACTATATAATTAACAGTTTTTGTCTATATCTTTGGTCTAGTAATTCAAATTAAACAATTTTAATACCATTGGATTTTTCTTATTAAAACAAATCTAATGGTACCAAATTTATCTAATTTGGATTACTGGGTCACAAGATAATCAAGATTTTGTAAAACTTTATATATAAATATACAGATTTTTAATTTTTTTTCATATAGTCTGGGGCAGTGATAGTAAATGATCTGGTCATTTGCCTATTTTTCTGATGATCCCAAATGACTTCAAAATGACCGGTCATTGTTAGTCATTCAAATCTTAGATTATTTAAAAATGACTCATGATCAAATGACCATAGTCATTTAAAAATAACCACAGTTATTTGAGTTATTAGTCATATCACATATAATTGACATCCTATTAGTTATGTAATGCTTCTTATGATTTGATCATATAAAACAATTTAAAAATAAATAATACAAATATCACATATATTAAATCAGAATATGAAATATGCTAGCCTTTATAAATAGTAATTTAAAATTTAAGACTTAAATAATTTTAAAACTTGAACAAATTAACTTAATCAAATATTTTGAATCTCTTTGAGTTTAATATGTAAATCACGATCCTAACTATTAGCTTTGAATTATCTAGCTTAAACCATAACTTGAAACTAATTAGATTTAAGCTAAAGATATTGTTGTGAGCTATGAATTAAAGATAAAATAAGCCTAAATTTAGATAGCTTCAATGTGCGACTACATATAAAAACTCAATCCAATTTTGAATACTATGGTTTAACTAATTGAAGACAAAATATAAAATTAGGAAAATTCTGTGTATGCATACATAGTATAAATATGTAGTATATATTATTAAAGTCTCACGAATTCTTAAAGTCAATAATAGCCTAGCCACCTTTTTTAGTCAAGTGTTATGATATTAATCATGTATGTACTGTATTACAAGAAATCATATACATATGTATGTACAAAATAGAATAATTAGATAATTGACAATAAATAATATGAATAATTGAGCAATGGTTTTTGATGCACATAATTGTACAAAATATATAAGGCACCTGATTGCAATAATTACATTCTTATATTGAAAATAACAGATTTTGTAATTCGGAATTAAAGGTATTGATGGCCTCGCTGTCAATAGAATCCAAAACTCGTAGATATATAATATAGTATAAGTAGTTAGTAGTGCAAAAAGAGGAGGAAAATAGAAAAAAAGCAGAAAAAAAATAAATAAAAAATAAAAAAAAAAAGAAAAAATAAAATAAAATAAAATAAAAAGAAAATTTTCATAAATGAAAAAAATTTCGTGCTGCATTGTCATGTTGAACATCTTATGCATCTTGTTAAATAGAGTTTCATAAAATTTATATGTGTAATACCTTTAACTTTTTTTACAATAGATAAGAAAAATCATAACTTCAGGGAATTTTTTCACTTAGTCATACCCGATAATCCAAAAGCAAATAAGAAGGTGGTCTGCCTTTCATATGTACGAAAATATACCTTACCTATAGTGATTACAAAGCCTGAGTGCTTTGTTTCCAATAAAGTGAAACTATGTCAAATTCATCTTTGAAATTGTCCAAATTTTAAAGAACAATATGCTATGAACGAAGTTTTGGAAATTATTGCACACTCAGTACCTGAAGATACTAAAAAGAAAAACAGTGAAGGTAATTATATTAAATAGTTCATTTTATAATTGCTTGTACAATATATTAATTATTGTTGTTAATAGCAAATGAAAACATTTCTGATTGCGAAGACAATATTTCTACTACCATTTCTGAGATATTAATATCCAATTCTTTACCTACTAATAAATCTGGTTTATCGTCTAATAAATCTACTTCATCTGCAAGCTCCTCTACTTCAAAAAAAAGACAAACATTTCTTGATAATTGTATTATATGTTAACTATTTGAAAAAGATAATCAGCATTTCAAGAATTTGATCTTATATATGATCGTATCAAATAGTCTTTCTTTTACTTTTATAGAAAACCAAGAAACAAAAGATTTTTTAATTTTATAATACCAACTATAAAACTACCTAATCGGTAGCCAATAAGTAATCGAATTCTCCTAAAGGTTTCAACAAAATTAAATGAAAATATTTTAGAACGTGCATATGCAGATAGGGTTGGTATAACTGCAGTCTTCGATAGTTGAACAAACATAAAGCAGGAGCACCTTTTTGGTGTTGTCTTAATTACTTCTCAGAGTGTATCTTTAATTTGAAATGCATGTAATATCAGTAATCAATAGTCAAAAACTGAAAATATAAAAATTTTTATTAAAAGTATAATGGATAATGCAGAAAAGGAAAGTATTCGAATTAACTGCTATATATCAGATTCAGCTAGTAAGTATGTAGCAGCAAGGTACGTTTAAATATATATTAATGTACTTATATTTATCTATGGATCTAGATTATTTTTTAATAAATGTTATGAACTTTTTTTCTATAGATGACAACTAAGAATCGAATATCCTAATAAGGTTTTATACTTTGTATAGCACATCAAATGAACTTAGTTGTTGGTAATATTTTCAAAGAATCTGATGCATATAAGAGAATATTGAAAAATACAATACGCATTGTAAGCCATTTTCATTCATCTCCCTATTTTACCAGGTTACTATGAGATGAGCAAAGGTCATGTTATAGATAAACCATCTCTTTTATTTCCTCAGCCGAGACACACTAAAACAGCATTTACTTTTGTTTTTATTCTATATTGAAAACTGAGGCTGCACTTAAGGTAGCATATTTTATAGTAAATTAAAATTTTTTACAAAGAAAATTTTGGTGCCAATTATGAAACATTAAAAAATTCTAATAAAAATTTTATTTAATTAGACATTGGCAATAAAATTTTCACCCACTAGAATCGGATTGGCTAGTATTTCTCGGAGTAGATTTTCGCGACAACGATTTATAACAGGAAATTTTAATACAAGCAAAATGCTTCTACCTGATATTATTTCAATCATACAAAATTCCAATTTTTGAAGTCAACTTTATGAACTTCAGGATTTACTATATCTTTTGTGCTATACACTAAATAAACTCCAGAAAGATGTTGCAAAACTGTATAAGATTGTATATTGTTTTGGATAGCTTATTAAGGTTTTTTAAACCTTAAAGATGAAAATTTTGCAAATAATATGGTCACCTAATTAGAAAATCAGTAGGCTCAATGAGAACAGCCACTACTCTTACTATCATTTGTTTTACATCTAAAATATTAGCTCTCCAAGTTTTCTTCTTGCATTTCTGGCCTTTCCTATACACATTTTAGTCAATGGTTGTATTATTATTACTATGTATGGTTCGAGAAAGTACTAATACACATTTTACGTAAATTTTTGTTATATCAGAGAGAAGCATTTCCTTTTAATAAAGAGACTTACAACCAGTTTGATGAAAATATTATTGAT